CCGGCTTGCACCAACCACAGTGCTGATGTGAAATATCCTCAGTGGTAGACGGATCATGAGTTACAGTCCCCTTGCTGTCAGGCTGACCGTGAGAGGTTCTCGTGGTCTTCCTCTCCATGTAACGCGAGCTGGTTAGCTTCACCAGAAAGTCCTCCACGAAGGCAAATTTCTCCCAATACTCGATCCAGGAGTTCCCTTGTCTTCTGGATTGGTTTCAAAATTACAAGGCTACGGAGTTGAACATTACTAGTCGTAAACCCATTAAATTAGGTTGGCTGTTCAACGACGGTTATAAAATATAAAAAATATAGTATTAGCGCTGTAGGCGGAAATGTCCTGCCAACTTGGTTTTATATTCGATATCCTTTATTTCAAGGATAGATTTTTTTAAAAGGATATTAAAATTGGGATTGTCATTTCCCTTCATCACTTCATGGATCTGGTTTCGATGTCGTTAAAATCGTAACTTGGAATAACACAGAATTTGATATCTGATATTTCTTCTCTATTCTGTAGCTATATCGATAGCTTTCATTGTAGGGCTCCCTCTCGATAATGCGTCGACATTTCCATGCGAAGTATCCTTACGATGACGAATGTCGGAATCATATTCCTGGAATCTTTCGTATCCACCTGGCTACCTGACCTTCCGGATTCCTAAAATTTAAAAGACAGGTTAAAAAGGCGTGATCAATCCAGAGCTGGCATTGTCTGCCGTAGAGACACTTATGGAAATGTTCTATGGTTTCTATGGTACAAGTGATCAATGCAGAGCTAGATTGTCTGCCGTAGAGACACTTATGGAAATGTTCTATGGTTTCTATGGTACAAATGATAAATCCGGAGCTAGAATTGTCTGCCGTAGAGACACTTATGGAAATGTTCTATGGTTTCTATGGTACAAATGATAAATCAGGAGCTAGAATTGTTTGCCGTAGAGACAATGATGGAAATGTTCTATTATTTTGTCAAAGTTCTTTTCCAGTTGTGTAACAATTTTGCTTCGGGTTTAATAGGAATTTATTCCAGTAAGCGATGTTCCAGTTCTTGACCTTTTATTTCCTGCTTCAGAACAGCTCCAACACATCCGTTGCTGGCTTCAGTATCCAAAATAAACAATTTGTCCGGCTAGGGATAAGCAAGTGCAGACAAAGATGTAAGGCCTTCTACAATTCTTTAAGAGCATTTTCACAAATTTCTGTCCTCAAGAATTTTTGATTAGCCTTTGTTAGCTTGTGGATTGGTCTGGCAATCGCCGAGAAATCCTTCACAAATTTTTTGTAGTACGATGGTTGTTATAAATTAAAGAAAAATAACAACAATTACCATTATTCAAAAAGTTAGGCATGGAATTTAATGAAACAGGCACGCACTATAGTGCACTTAATAATGTATAAAATAACATAAAAAATATTAACCAGGCAATTATTATGTTACAGAAATTAGAACATCTATGAAAGAGATAAATCAGAAGTGCCAGTTTGGAATAAATAAAAAAACCTTCAGTATGAAGTATGATTGCCTTTAGCAGCAATACAGCACATACAGCGATGCGGGATGTTTTCAATTATGCGGTCAGACAGCTCCTTTGGAAATGCAAGCTATACTGTTGTTGTAAAGCAGTTGCAAGCGCGGTATGGGTCTGAGGAAAAGGATTGCGAGTTTTCCCAAAGCATCCCAATCATGCTTGACCGTATTTAAGTTCGATGATCGAGCTAGACACTCCATGCACTGAATTGTTTGATGCTGAAGATAATCATCCACAATGCGAGACCTGTGCGGCATTGCGTTATCTTCGTGTAACACGAAATCATCACCTATTGCACCTGCATAAGGGCGCATATAAACAACAAGGATGATATATCCATGCACGTGAGCGTTCATGGTTTCACGTGGGAAGACCTGCAGCAATATTTTCAGGATCCGTTCTTACACCTTCTACAGAGATGAAGTGTGCGAGATAACTAACTTCATGACGAAACAACTTAATTTTATTTTTTAACCGTATTTAATTTTGAACCCAATCCAGAAGACAAGGGAACTCCTAGATTAAGTAGTGGGAGAAATTTGCCTTCGTGGAGGACTTTTTGGTGGAACTAACCCGCATTTACGTTACATGGAGGGGAGCACCACGGAAACCTCCCACGGTTTGCCTGACTGCAAGGAGACTCTAGCCCACGATCCGTCTGCCACTGATGATATTTTACGTCAGCACTGTGGTCGGTGCAAGCCGGATGCGGAATTCGTATCGTATTCTATTTTGTTTTTCAGTTTATGAGTAAAACAAGTTATGGCTCATTTAAAAAATAAGTTTTTGCATTGGCTTATATAAGTGCTAATTTTTAAAATGTTTGCATTTATAACATGGTAAAGTGAAGATTAAAATATGTACAATAAGATAAGAAAAATGTATCAAGTTAATCAAGTTAAGTTCAAAACAATCATTGAAAAAATTATCAACAAATCCTTCTTTTTTACAGATTTCTACTATGTTGTTCCCGCTTAATAAAAGAATAAGTTTACATTTAAAAAAATATGTTTTTTTTTTTTTTTTTTTTTTTTTTTTTTTTTTTTTTTTTTTTTTTTTNTCATATTATTCAGATATTATGATAGTTCTGATTAAAATTCATATTATTCAGATATTATGATAGTTCTGATTAAAATTGATATTATTCAGATTCAGGGTATTTCGTTTTTCCTACTGTGAACGAACATTTTTGAGAGTCACTGTATTTATGATCTCAAATAAAACTAAAAGGACTTCGAATCAAATAATCAAGGAAACTCTACTATTACGTTTAATAAAAGGAATGGTTTATTAACTCAGCAATAAAATCACAACATCGTCATTCCAAGGGAAAAAAAATATCGCACTCACTCCAAAAACTATTTACATTCCAAAACTATCCCCATGGCAACCACAGAACTCAACTCGTTGCCATCTACTAACTGGCATATAACAAATAAATTATTTTACAAAAATACGATCCGCGTAAGCGCATAATATCTTACACCTAGAGTTAAGAGAAGCTATCCTCCCTGAAATGCGCTATTCTTGTTTCCATAGCAGCAGACAGACTCAGACATAATGGCGGGGGGAGTTCTTACCGTAGACAAACTATAACGAAACGATGGATGCGTTTAATGAAACGATACATACAAAAATAAATACATGTAATGAAGGGATGTAATAAATATATGTGATGAAATGATATATTTGTAAGTGCATACAATTTTTAATAAATTTTAAATATCGTGTCTATTGTTCTATCGTTAGATATATATATTTTTACAAACTTTTCCACGAATGTCAGAAAATAGTATTTGAATACTAGTTTACAAATTTTCAAATCATAAACCGAATCAAGAATTTTGTGTAATTGTACTTAATTACGTCGCACTAGAGGTGCACAATGGGCTATTGCAGAATGAGAAGCTTCCCTGAGGATGATTCGAGGACATACATCACAATTTTGATCCACTGCTTCGTCCGCTTTAGTAACCCAACGATTTGGGCACAAAGTCGAGCATTTTATGGTAACACAGTTTAACGAGGACCGATATGGCACACTCTCGGTTTCTTCACAAACTGATAAAAGTGGACATCCACCCACTTGCTAACAGCAGTCAATGATGCTTGAATTCAGTGGTCTAATGGGAACAGTGCCTTATGATCAAACCACTCTCGAATGAAGAATTTTATGACAGGTAACAACGTTTTCTTCTGATAGAATAAGTGATATATCGATTTCTTAAATTATCAATATTTTTTTAAATTTTTTTTTTTAAATAAATTTTTTTTAACACATAATATAAAAATAATTTTTATATTAATCTTCCTTAAAAATTTTTTATATTATCTCAAAAAATATTCATTTTTGGAATTAAAAAAAATAATAATAATTTTATTGAAAATTCAGGTTTAAATATATTGAGACTTAAATTATTTATAATAAACTTCTTAATTTATCAATAAAACTTTTTAAAAAAAATTTGGACAAATATAAAAAGAGTTTTTATATTAATCTTCTTTAAGTTTTCTGATATTTTCTCAAAAAATATTCATTTTCGGAATTAAAAAATACTAATAATTTTATTGAAAATTTTTCTGGTTGAAATATATTTGAGACTTAAATTATTTATAATAAAATTCTTAAATTATCAAAAAAATTTTAATAAAAATAATTAACAAATATTATAAAAAGAGTTTTTATATTAATCTTATTTAAATTTTTCGGAATTAAAAAAAAATAATAATTTTATTGAAAAATTTTCAGGTTTTAATATATTTGAGACTTAAATTTTCCTGATTATGCAACTTTTAATACATTTTTAAGTATTACCTTTGAAGGACTGATAAGCATCTTAAACTTAATTGCCATGAATGTAAATAGTTTAAAAAAAACAGAGTGTTTATGAGTGTTATGAAGCATTCAAAGCAAATTTTTATTCATGAAATCGAAACTACTATTAGCTCTCTTCTCCCCCCCTTTTTTCAACATTCAATTAATTGCCTTAATAAAAATATTCAAATTTCGATTTTTAAATTTTTTTAAATATCTTCTGTGCAAGTTTAAAATTTGGGAATTTTAAAAACTTATACGCAAAACTTTTTCAAAGAAATAAAAAAAATGAAAGAAAGAAAAGGAAGAAAAAAAGACGCATATAACAGTTTATCCCTTTTATTAAAATTTAACAGAGCTCAAAATGAAGGAAAAAAATGAATAAATCGTCTGCAATAAAATTTGGACAGTTATTTTTCGTATTTTATGAAATGCAAATACTCAAATGTTTTTAAATAGTTTTAAATAGATGACCGAAAAATGTAATTTAAATATTATGAAATGTTAAATTTTAAGATCGTTTTTAAAAACAGTAATAGGAATCAATCAGTTCACAAAAATTTCTTTTCAATTTCAATTATTTTCTCTTTTTGGCAACTAAGCATCGAGCACTCTTCTTTAAAATATGTAGTAACCCTACCGTGACGTAATGAGGTGACGTCTACGCGTGCCCGATGGTCTGGTCGTGCCGCAACATCATGGCCACTCCAAAATCCACATGGTGTCACTATAACTAAGGTGCGGCGGTGAACCTGTGTCGGCTTTTTAACTTCGCGAGTGATTCTTGTAACTTCATTTCATAGAACAGTTTGGGAGATACTTTTTGCTGTATGAAGTGAAAATTGGGACATCTGATCTAGCTTCACTGCAAATATTAAACTGAAATATTAAGATTTAGTGCTGCTTTTAACCGAGAAATTAGGCTTACTGCTGTAACATATCCTGTCATCTTAACTGTCTGAGGTGAGTTACTCCCTTTTCGATTTTCGTGCATTACATTTTTAATGTTCACCCTTTTTATTTAGCGAATGCTAAAAAATGTAACTGTTATAAAGTAATAGTTATTTTAAAAATCAATCGAATCTTCCTTGCTTTATTTATATCGCCATATTTACATATATGATAACTGTCACCTCAAATGTATGTCAAATTGTTTGTATATGCCGGTCGGGGAATATAAACGTAAGTGATTTAAATTTTCACTCTTAATTTTAATGTAATTGCGTGAGAAAATTGACTTATTGCTGTTATATATTCTTTATTTTTTATTGATCATAGCTTTTCTTCTCTCACTTATCCGCAGTTAGTGAAAATATATCAATGTATCAAATTTTGTTTCGTTTAATTTTGAATTATTTATCTCCGATTAATTGAAAAGCAATTCCTGACTGAATCGATATAGTTATAGCAAACTTAAATTTTTTTACTTGTATTTAATCTTGTTCATAAGTATGAATACTAATTCAATTTCTTACTCTTTATTTTTATTTATGTATACTTTTGCTTGCAATGCTAATTTTTTTTTGATAAAATACTTATTTTGGAGAAATTGAATGTATTTTTAGTTAAAATATAAATTAAAGTTCTGATTTTATGGTAAAGATTTTCCTCTGTACATATCTTGAACAGCATATCTTGAAGTTAAAAATATAAATATATAAATTAAATGAAATATAAATAACTTCATATTCTGAACTATTTCTTTTGCTGATTGTCATTTATTTAAATATTTTTTTTAACTAAAAAATTCTAATATTTTTATTTTGTTTTAAAAAGGTTTTGATACTATTTTCTTCATACAGCTTTATTGATACTTTTATTTTATCTTATTTTTTAAACACCAAACAAAATGGATGTTCTCAAAAATTAAAAAAGAAGAAAAAAGAAAGGTTTATGATAAAAGAAGAAAAAAAACTTTAAAAAATACTTTCGCTTGGCAAACCAAAAAGTACCACTATATGAAGTTAAAAAATTTAAAATATTATATTCTGTTTATTATCTAAATTACAATATTTTTGAAAAATTATCAGAATTACGAGTCTGCTTTTTATGAGACCTCCTCTTTAGTAAGGATTTTCATTCATTCTTTCCGTTTTTACTGCCATTTCTTGTTTTGTTACCTTATATACCTGCAAATTCATTTTTTCACCTAGCTCTTACATAGATTCTATTGAGGACTGAATACCAAAACTTTAAATTATTCTTGAATTTTAATTAAAATTATGATTCTGATGTCTATTTTGCAGCAAGATGCAATGATTTAAAAATAAGCTTCTGTGGTAAAACCAATATACCACTGGTCTGGTTATATAGATTATAAAATGTAACTTGATGTAGAATAAATTTTTTCTTGGTATTTAAAAAAAAATTAATGCAAACTTTTACGACATCATTGTGCTCTTCGTTGCATCATTCCCTATTCCAATATCTAACAAAATATGGGAAGTTGAAATTTTACCAATATACACTACTGGTTTATATAGATTATAAAATGAAGCTTGATGTAGAATAATTTTTTTTCGTTGCATAGATCCTTTTTAAATCTCCCAATATACTACTGGTTATATAAATTATAAAATGAAGCTTGATGTAGAATAATTTTTTTTCATTGTATTGATCCTTTTTAAATCTCCCAATATACTACTGGTTATATAGATTATAAAATGAAACTTGATGTAGAATAAATGTTTTCATTGTGTTGATGCTTTTTAAATCTCCCAATATCTAACAAAATATGGGAAGTTGAAAATTTACATGTTACACATTGCATTAGATATAAAGTGGGGTGCATAGTGTTTTTAAGAAGTGCTTAAAGGTGCTTATTTTTAATTTGCATTTTTTTAAAAGCCCTTAAAGGTACTTTTTTTATTCGAGGTTTGTAAAAAGTGCTTAGTTTTCTATATTTTGAAAAGAGATTTTTCTTTGCCATGTTATAAATTACCAAATATGCATGATTTTCTTAATTTTTTCAGAAAAATTTATCAAACTAGTTGGTTTATCACGATTGTGTGAAGTTTTTGAAAATGTTTTTGAATTTTATTGATTTTATGTTCATAAATTAAGAACTTTAAACCATAGAAAAAAAATTTTATTACTGCACAGATCCTAATTATGATTATTTTTATGAGAGTGATTAAAAGTGTTTTTTGAGTGCTTGAAAAGTACTTAAAAGTATGCTTATTTTTTGTTGAAAAATCTGGCTACACACCCTCTAAAGTATTGAAATTTTACACGATGTTTGCTATTATGGTGTTATTTAATGTAACAAAAATGCACAAATGTAGAGACTGATATTTACATTTTTAATTCAAGTTGCTAGTAAACACAAATACTAAGGTATTTTTAGTTTTTATTTTTCTGATTTATTTACTTTATTTTTCTAATTAAAGAATTTTTTGTACTTTCCAATTTCCCCAAGCACAAATAAGTTCTCTTACTTTTTTTTTTGTGAAGGCCATTTTGTTTTGTCTTCCAAGAAAAGAAGAAAAAAATTTAAATTTATTTGTGCCTGGCTACAGTAAAAGTACCAACTTTTCTTATGTATATTATTTTAGAATAAAATAATCGTATTCAGTCTTCGTCGCAACAAATTAAGAAGAAAAATTGGTAAGAATGGGGAATTTTGGTAGTTTAGTAAATTAAAAACAAAATTGTATTTGTAGTTATTAGGAATTTTACTAAAAAAGTAGATCTTTCTATGAAAAATATTTTTGTGATAAGATTTATTTTCTTAAATGATGAATTTTTTCAATGTTAGAATTACGTTTATTTAACGTTAATGTGTATAAGAGTGTTTGGGAATATTTATGAAGTTAATTATGATGTGATAACTACGCTTTTGTCTACCCTATTATAACCTATTGTTTATTTCAGGACATCGCGATAACTGTCGGTTTCAGGGTATTCACTGGCGACTATGGCTATTTCTTTCAATAAACAGCAAAAAAGCTTTTTTTTTTCCTTCAAAAGATGGCGACTAAATTATTAGAAAAGCGACTATGTAAAAAAAAAAATTTTTTTTTGGCAAACAGACGGATCGCGTGAAAGCTATTTACAAAAATATCTAAATTCGAAAAAAAAGAGAAAAGAAAAAAGCGATAAATAACTGCCGAAAATCGATCGGAAAACTACGTCAATTTACTACACAATTTACAAATCGAAATTACGTCAATTTGCGAACCGCAAACTTTAGAAGTGATATTTCAAATTCGAAATCGCATGCTGAAATAAACATCATACTACAAATATCCGAATTTGAATAACCGCATGAAAATGTCTCAAGAGACTGTGGCATAACTGCCGAAAAAAAGATCGAAAAAAAAATATTTATTTGATGCAATAGTTGTGAATCTAGTGCGGTAAAAAGTGATTACTTCAATTTGAAATTCAATGCCCTATTTAATATATATCGGAAAAAGGCAATTTGAGCTTTTTAAAATGTGATTACTCAAATTTGAAATTCGCGTATCGTAATAACTTGTTTTTCCGATTCCAATATTTTAGTACAAACGTGAAAACGGCTGGGCGGAAAAGCGAAATAATGATGAAATCGGAGTATTGAGAATCCTTTGAATATTTTGAAATGACTATTTAAACGACGTGGGCTTACAACGGAATGAATACAAGAATTCAATATTCGTGAGTCGTTATCAAGTTGAAAATTTGTCCGTCGTAATATCATCATTCCTTAATATGATATAAAAGTATAGTAATTAGGAGATGGAAAAAAAAAGAAAAAAAAAAAACATTTGAATTTACGAGGGAATCTGTTTGAATAAAGTTTTTCTTATGACTCTATCGGAATCAAGGAACATGCGAAAAGAATTAGAATTTGCTATAATTAGTTACAATAATAATTTAATAAGATGTGATATTTATTCTTTAGAAACTGAAATCTCCATCAAGAGGTTTAGTATGTATAGCTTTTAGTACATAATTTTTTTTCTTTAATTTAAATTTTTTTAAATGTAAATTTCTTAATTTTTAAAATTAAGAGACTACACCAAAATATAGTTTTACAAGTATTATTAGAAATGCTCATTAATCAATTCATTATAGAGAATACAAAAACACGCGTGATTTTCTAATCCAGTACAATAACATATTCTCCATTCAAAAATAAAAACGTTATCAAATTTCAGTCATAATAACAAACTATCATATTTCTTATGCGGGAGGATGTTGGTAATTACGCTACACTTTCGAGTTCACGGATTTATAAAAGGTTTTAATTATTAATAACAATTAGATGTTGTTAAAATTTTTCTATAATATCTTGAAAACAGTATTAATAATTTAACTTTATAACGCAATTTTTCTTATTACAGTTTTCTGAAACGTAACTATGTACAATAAGTGAGCTTTATATGAAGATTAAAAAGTGATACTGAGTAGTATAATAAATAGAACATGTTTCTGTTTGCAAATAGATAATATAACGCACAATGTATTTAAATGCTGGGCTGTATATGTATGAGGCATTAATATTGCTGGGAATTCATACCAGCCCGAGAAGAATTCTAAGGAAATATCCCATCATTTACATAAGCAAAAAAAATTCTCATATTGTACATGAATATGGACTTAAGTAGAACAATTGCTATTTGTCTGACTGCCATGCATTGAGGCTTAAAATTATTGTAATAGGCAGCAGTCCAAGTGCAAATGATATGAAATAATATTTCGTTAAAAGATTGTCTGTCCTCATTTCTATTATTGTATTTCAGATAATGTGTTTTATTACTGCAAATGAGAACTTTTGTGTACCCTTTCCAAATTTTTCGTAACGCTGTGTACCACTCAAAAAGAAAGAAAAAAAAAAAATTTTTTTTTTACTAGAAAAAAAAAACTGCACAAAAGTTAAAAATCACGACTGTTGACACCACTGTTATGACCAACTGTTAACTCTGCAAAAAATAGCCAATAGAAAAATACGTAATCGTAAATTTTCATGGCTTGCTTTG